GGTTTTTCTTTTTTTTTTGGAGACGGAGTCTCACTCTATCGCCCAGATTGGAGTGCAGTGGTGCAATCTTGGCTTACTGCAACCTCCACCTCTCGGGTTCAAGCAATTCTCCTGCTTCAGATTCCCAAGTAGCTGGGATTACAAGCATGTCCCACCACACCTGGCTAATTTTTGTATTTTTATTAGAGATGGGGTTTTGCCATGTTGGCCAGGCTGGTCTCCAACTCCTGGCCTCAAATATCTGCCTGCCTCGGCCTCCCAAAGTGCTGGTATTACAGGTGTAAACCACCACACCTGGCCTATCTTGAACTTTTATAAAAAAGAATCTGCTGTCCCCAGACAGTGTGGTGGCTTTTTTTTTCCTTTCCTTCAGACAGAGTCTTGCTGTGTTGTCCAGGCTGGAGTGCAGTGGCATGATCTTTTTATTTTTTTGTAGAGACAGGGTTTCGCCATGTTGCCGAGGCTGGTCTCAAACTCCTAGACTCAAGCGATCCACCTACCTTGGCTTCCCAAAGTGCTGAGATTATAGGCATGAGCCACCACACCCGGCCATTTTAAACATTTTCAGTGGAGACAAGGTCTTACTGTTTTGCCCAGGCTGGTCTTGAACTCCTCCTGAGTACAAGTAATCTCCCCAACTCCTGAAGTGCTGGGATTACAAGCATGAGCCACCATGCCCGGCCTCAGTGGCTTTTAATGCAGTTGATACTAAAGTAAAACAGGAAAACAAAAACAGAAATTTATTTGTTTTGAAGGTGAGCAGAGGGCTAATTTTCTATGCTTTTCTCTCTTTGGAACCCTGATGAATGTTCTCTCTTGGTACATCTTCCTTTGAGGAAGTTGGAAAGTCTAGAGGCAACAGTGGGGAAGTTAACCTAGTTAATCCAACTATTGTGGACCAGGCAGAGATAATCTCAACCTCAGCACTATGGACGGTTTGGACCAGATAAGTCTTCTTTATGGGAGGTTGTCCTGCACATTGTAGGATATTTAAGAGCATCCCTGACCTCTACCCCCTAGATGCCAGTACCAATCTCCTCCCACCTCCCCAGCCGCATGACAACCAAAAATATCTCAAGACATTGCCATATGTGCCCCATCTTTAACATAGACTGAAGTATATGAAGAAAATCTGGCATTGTAGGTAATTAGAAAAGGGGTGACCTCAGGATCAGACTCCCCAAAAGGGTTTCATGGACCCTAGAGTCCTCAAAATAGACTTTGAGGAGAACTGGCCTAGAGATAAGCAATTTGGAAATAAAGAAAATCCCTTTTGTTACAAGTGGTATCAACTGGGATTCTGTTAGATGTATTCCTATTGTATTAGATTGAAATGTTGAGTAGTTATATTCTAAATTCTGCATAGTAAACAAGAATCTGGGCTTTGTAAAGCTCGTTAGTTCAGATTTGAAGTTTAAGATAACGTGACTATCCTGGACAGAGGTGTGCCGGAGCAGAAACTGCATTAGCATATTACTGGTGTTAACAGTATTCACCTTTCTTAATGAGAAACCGACTGGATATTTTCTTAAGTTGCCTTTATAAAGCAACTTAATGTGATCAGTTCTACTGAATGGTGAATCAGTTATTTTAAATGTTTTCTTTTTTTTTTTTTTTTTTGAGATGGAGTCTCGCTCTGTCGCCCAGGCTGGAGTGCAGTTGTGCAATCTCGGCTCACTGCAAGCTCCGCCTCCCAGGTTCAGTTGATTTCTCCTGCCTCAGCCTCCCGAGTGGTTGGGACTATAGGCACGTGCCACCATGCCTGGCTAATTTTTGTATTTTTAGTCGAGACAGGGTTTGACCAGGCTGGTCTCCAACTCCTGGCCTCAAATGATCTGCCCGCCTCGGCCTCCCAAAGTGCTGGGATTACAGGCATGAGCCACTGCACTCAGCCATATTTTAAATATTTTCTTGCTATTTATTAAACCATTTAAAAGCTATCTAGCTTACTTCTCCTTTCCTCTACCCTAATAAGCAGTATTGTTGTGCGTTGCAGATAACCAAAAGCATCGTTTTGTTTCAGTGAGCCAAAGTGGTTTTCTTCCCTAAGTTGAACTAACAAGGTTTTACTGTAGTGTGATAGCCAAGGCAATTAACCAAAAAAATTGTGAGGAAGTCATTTTCAAATTCTGTACTTTTGTTTGATTCTACAATTTTACTTTTTTTTTTTTTTTTTTTTTTAATAGGAAATGACTTGCAGTTGAGTGAGTCTGGCAGTGACAGTGATGACTAGTGCTGGATCTTTCGAAATCTACTTTTTGGTGCACAAACATGCCGCAAGACCGAGCTACTTTGGCGTGGTGTCCATTGCCAAGAGGAAAATGTTATGGATCAGTGACTGTAGTAGGAGTTTGAGGCTCTGGAGCTCTCACATATTCAAGTCTTTAACTTAGTGGTGATGGGTGATTTTCTTGTGTCATTTTTGAACAATCTCATCTTTCAAAGTTTAAGTAGACCTGTAGAAGAGCTAACAGAATTATATTTCTATTTAGTTAACATTGTTAATGAAAAACAGATAAATGTGCCCTGGTCTAGGTTACTCAAAGGCCGTATCTTCACCAGGCCAGAGATTCAATTTTAAACCTCAGCAGCCATCCGTTTGGCCAAGTGGTTGGTACCAGTGAAATGAAAGTCTTTGAGGGGTAGGAGAGAGAGGGAAACCTCAAACTACATCATAGAAATATGTTAAAACCACTTTAAATTGTTGACACAAAGTGGTAAGGAAGTTTTGTCTGACTCAGCCTGACAAGCCTAGATAGAAATGGACCTCAGAATACAGAATGGAGTCCTTGAGTGTCAGCTGGTGAGGACCATGGAGTCCTGCGAGCTCAACCTGTCATTTACAGACTAAGAAAGGGAAGTACACACCCGGCTTGTGGCCAGTCTTCTGCCCCCTCTCCGGGCTTTCCTCACTGTTCTCTCCCTTGAGTCTCATTTGTAGGAATCAAGAGATTCCTATACATGGGACTTTTAGATGTACATTGGCACTTTGATTAGATTCCAAAAGACAAAAGTGTTGAGTGCTTCTAGCTTGAATTCAGTCCCTAAATACATGAGGCTGGGTGAGCAGATGAAACCGGTAGCCACTGTGCTAATGCATGTGACTCCATTCAGTTGGGGCTTTTAGTTCCATGTGGATCCATACTAAGTATTCTTCAGTCAGTGGATTTTAGCAGGAGGGGGAGGTAGGAGTGGAAGAGAGATGTGAAGAAACCTCTCCGAACAAATGAACCAGCAGTGAGTTTCTAAAAATCAGAATCTAGATAGAAGTTCTGCAATATGAAGTGAGCACATTCTTTGATCAGGCATATCTGTTCATGCTTTTGTACCACTGTTTGTACCTGACTCCCCAACCGATTTGTATTTTTTATATACAACTAGAAGAAAGTCACAAGATTGCCTTCTACAGTGTGCCGTTTCCAAATGGATCTGTTGTTGGAGGAAACTGGTCACTAGTCAATGTTCTATATTTGATGAATGTGTGATAAATCATCCTGTAATCAGTATGGAGTAGCCTGTTTTTGTAGTTTGGATGAGTATGTCCTGAGAAATTTCCATCCACTTTGGTTCAGTGGACATCAAGATATTAATAATAATTTTTCCTCCACAGGTCCCTCCACTCATATGGCCTCTCCCTCCCCAGCTAGTGGACGGGAAGCAGTCTGGACAAAGGAAATAGGTGGTCTGTGGTGGGGGCTTTGGTCACAGTGAAACCTCATAGAGTCAACTGTTTCATCGTGATAGTAAGCCCAGAGCCCAGGGAACCACTGCCCAGCAGCATGCTCACACCATCTACCCTAGTGTAGGTGACAGGTCTACACTAGGACCCCGTGCTGGGCTCTCAGCCCATCATGAGATTTTGGTGGATTTAAAGGCAGGTAGGAACTTATTTATAGTGGATTGATAATTGCTTTATAATTCCTTGGTAATGACAGCTCAGGGAAGGTTTCGCAAGGTCACAATTAGGAGACTTGAATTGTTACTGGATGTAGGAATTGTTTCACTGCTCTTAACTTGCTCAAACTGGGGCAGGTTCTAGGAACTTGAACTAAAAATATCTATTTAAGCCTCTCTCTGTCTCTCTCCCCCACCAACTTTTCTCTGAAAGCCTTGATTTCTGTAGACAGAACTGTGGTTTTTGGCATGTTGAGTCAAGACATGTTTCTATAGGAAATGCTTGCATGGGGCACTGGCTTGGTGAGTCAAGCTTCCTGAGCTTCAGACCCTCTGTCCTGTCATCTGTCCTGCCCAACACCGTCTGGTTTTTCTCTAGCACGGCTTCAGTTTTGTTCTCTGCACAAAGCCTTTGGTGGTTCTGCCCTCTGCCCTCCAGCTTTACCCACCAGAGAAGGAATCTTTTCTTTTTGGAAGTCAAGAATTTGGCTTCACAGATGGCTTCTCACAGATGCCCTCCTGCCAGCCAAACCGGACTTGTTCTTCCTGCCTCTGTGCCTTGTCTCATTCTCCGTGTCTCTCCCTCCAAACCCCACTTTTGAGGCTCTGTGGGTGCCATCTTTGTGCACTCTTGTCTTTTTTTCAGCCCACATGGAGTGCCCTGTATGTACATACTGACCTTTTTTTTTTTTTTTTTTTTTTGCTTGAACTCTGGTTGGTATGAGCTCCTGAAAAGCAGGGACTGGGCTGGGTGTGGTGACTCATGTCTGTAATCCCAGCACTTTGGGAGGCCGAGGTGGGAGGATTGCTTGAGTCTAGGAGTTTGAGACCAGCCTGGGCAACATTGTGAGACCCTGTTGCTACAAAAAGAAAAAAAAAAGCAGGGACTGTCATTCTCATCTCTTCCCTGGGGTATCCACAGGAATGGACATTCAAATGGTTGTAGCCTGGTTGGGGAGAAGGCAGAGAAAACTACCCAGCCAGTGAAGTGCAGTGGATAGACATAGGAAAACATTCCAGGCATTTGGAGACAGCTGAAAGTATCCATGCTGACTTTCATGATTTAGAAATCTTTAACTGAATTGTTAAAATTGCCTTTTCTTTGCGCTGTACAATGTCTACTGTACTGTGGGTCATTAGATGAGATGAAAGACTTAATTAAATCTGAAGTATCTGAGGTGCTTAGTAAACCTTAGTAAAAGTTGTGATTGAGGAAACTTAATGCAAATGAACTAGATGTTTGTAATCATGCCACTCATTAATGATTTTATTTCTGTAGCAGAACCATTTTTTCTGTGTAAGGTGTTAACGTGTGTGTATGTGCTTCGGTTGTAGGAAAACTTGAAAATTCCAAAATCCCTATTTTCCTATTTGAGAAGCTGGTTCAGCAGGGTGTGGGTGTGGGGGTCTGTGTGTGTGTGCGTGTGTGTGTGTGTGTGTATGAATGATGTATTTATTACATTATTTTGAAAGAGAATTAGTGTGTTACGTGGATAATGTTATATACAGCCAAAGTGGATGTTTCTATTTGGCGAGGAAGGTAGGATTTCTGAAACTCAGGCCTTAACCAATAGGTTGGAAGACAAGACCAATTGAAGAGTTATGAAATGTGAGTTTTTGTTACTTCTGTTATTTCTGTCTTGGTTTCGTTGTCTCATTCTTTATTTTTAAAGTCTTGTGCCTAAAAGTTTTTTTGCTTAATTGTGAAGTAGACATGCATGTTTACATTTATGTAAAATATTTGCTGTGTAAAGTATTTTTTGTTTGTTCTCTTAAAAGATCACTATATTTAAATAAAAGTGAAGGTCAGCAATACATTTAATATCTTGGTGGGTTTCATTTTCTTTTAGAAATCAGTGAGCAATATATGGTTCTTTTAAGAACCTTCTGTGCTTAAGGCTAAATAGCTAACTAAATGGATTCCTTTTTAATTTGGTGTTTATAATCGTTAGGAAGTATACCTCAGCTTTTAAAAGGTGTGACATTCAAAACTGAAGGATGAACTTCAGTTTTTAAAAGGTGTGAAGTTCACAACTGAATCACATCTGAGGCCATTTTACTTGGTCTGAAAAGGAAGGCTTAGTTTTGGGTCTGAGAACCATGCAACAGTTAAACTGAATCCCTAGACATATCCTATTGTCACTTTAGTTTACCAGATTCCTTCCGCCTCGAATGCCATGCTACACACACCTCTGACTCCCAGCTGACATTTGGCTAGAAGTGATCCTGCCCTCCTGCTTCCATTCTCCACTTCTGCTTCAGCAGTGCTCACATTTACCTGTGGTCTTGGCTCCCCTGCTAGACTGTATACACTTCTAGGTGGGCAGTGGCCATATTCCTTTTTAATTTGCTGTAGTGTCTCTAGTGGGTGCTGAATACATTTGGATTGAATTAAATTACATGTTAAGTCTCGAAATCTTCTGCTACTTATTCTGCAATGTGCTTGTTCCCTCAGATGGCAACAGTAGTTAGACTTGAACCTTCTTAGTGGGGAAGTGGTGGTGTCCATCACTGAAGGGAGTTTTATCTTCAGTTAACTATTGCCACCGTAATGTTCTATAGCAAACCATCCCCAGACTCAGTGACCAATAAGCATTTATTTTGCTCCCAAGTCTAGGTTGGCTTTAGACTGGCCTTGGCTGGACAGTTCTGGTCTTGATTGGCTCCCTCATACACCTGACAGTTGAGTGAGGTTCAGCTGATCTAGGATGGCCTTGGCCAGCACAGTGGGGGCGACAGAACTATTGCCACCGTAATGTTCTGTAGCAAACCATCCCAAAGCTCAATGACTAATAAGCATTTATTTTGCTCACAAGTCTGGGTTGGCTTTAGACTGGCTTTGGCTGGACAGTTCTGGTCTTGATTGGCTCCCTCATACGCCTGGCAGTTGACTGAGGTTCAGCTAATCTAGGATGGCCTTGACAGTACAGTGGGGGCGACAGCTCTGCTCCATGTCATCTCCACCAGCCTAGCCTGGGCATGTTGTCATGGCAAAGGCAGAGAGGTGTAAGAATAAGAGAGGAAACAAAATGCTTCTGTCACAATTGCTAAGACGCCATTGGCCAAAGCAAGTTAGAAAGCTAAGTTCAGAATGAAGGAGTAAGTGGGGAAATCCATTCCCCAAAATTGATGGGAGGAGTTGCAAAAGAGACTGGAAAGGGTGTAGACACAGGGAGGTGGGAAGAATTGCGGCTATTAATGCCATCTATTACATTCACATGCCCTGTGACTGCCACGTTTGAGAACACTGGGCCACATGATCTCTAAGTCCCCTCCCAATTCTGGCATTGTCCCTGGCCAGATAAGAAAGTTCCAGTAGGAGTTAAGACATTTCTATTCATGGTTCATGCAGAGGGCACCAAAAGCCACCCAATGGCTTCTCTTGACTCGGCCCTCCCTCCTTTATTCACTGCATATAGTTTGCTTCCCTCCTGCCATTTCTTACCAAGAGCACTATTCCAGTTATCTGTTGCTAAGTAACAAGCTACTCCCCAATACTTGGTGGTTTAAAACAATCACCATTTTATGTCATGGGATTTGTTGGTTAGGAATTGGGACAGAGCTTGGCTAGGCAGGTGAGCTTCTTGTGGCTTTAACTGAGGTCACTCAGTGGTACTTAGCTGGCAGATGGGCTGGACTGCAGAGTCCAAGCTAGCTTCAATCACATGCCTGGCACCCTGGTGGAGGTGGCTGGAAGCAGGCTTCTGAAACCTCTGGGCCCATGGATTGTAATGTTGAATTGCTCAAATGTAACAGTCTCCTTAGTGAATTGCCAAGGTCCTTGACTTGTAAGCTGGTTATTATCACACAAGTGCTGAAGAACTGCTTCGCTGAAAATTTTAATTGGCTCACTCTACTGCAGGGGAAGGATGGGGCCGAACAACTCCAGTAAAGCGGGCATTGGGGAATAGGTCGGCCCATTAATTGTAATGAGCTTTGGAGATTATTTAGCAATTTGACCCACACATACCCTCCATGCCCCTAACGGAGCGATGGCCTGTGTGTCTGTCCCAGGAGACACTCAGAAATTGCCCCACCCCCTTCCCCAGCACTGGTTCCTAAGTGAAGTGCTGGTGACCAAGCTTCCATCAAAAACCTCACTTTGCTTTACAGATCTTACTAAAACGGCTTCGCAGTTGGATAGATAAGAGGCCCAGGGTCAAATCCCAACCCTACACTTCCCTGGTCATGGTAGGAGTTCTGGCCCAGAGACAGGCTGGATCCTTCGGGGTCAGCTGAGCAGAGCTTGAGCTTCTGTTATGTGTGAAAGCATCAAAACCAGTCCAGTCCTGAAAGTAAAAAAATCAGTCCAGATAGAGTAAGTCAGCTCTGTGCCCCTACCATGCCTCAGACTGTCATAGCCGACACTCAGAAAGCCAGCTGCAACATTAACAGGAGGAATATTTCTCCCACACTGCTGCAATTGAAAAATGTCATAACCATTCCTTTTTTTTTTCCCCCTTGAAAGGGAGTCTTGCTCTGTCGCCCAGGCTGGAGTGCAATGCATGAGGCTTACTACAGTCTCTGCCTGGCGAGTTCAAATGATTCTCCTGCCTCAGCCTCCCGAGTAGCTGGGATTACGGGTGCCTGCCACCACACCCAGCTAAGCTTTTTGTATTTTTAGTAGATATGAGGTTTCACCATGTTGGCCAGGCTAGTCTCAAACTCCTGACCTCTGGTGATCCACCCACCTTGGCCTCCCAAAGTGCTGGGATTACAGACATGAGCCACTGCGTCCGGCCAACCATTCCTTTTTTTGAGTGACTACTGCTTTCTTTCCAGTGACATCTCTAGCCTTGCTTTGTTACTCCCGCCACCTGAAAAAAATCACCGTGAAACTTTGTGAATACCCCTAAATCCCCAAAGAGGTGATTGATTTGGCCTGAGCCACTAAATAATGATAATGACAAATAAAATCCAACACTTCCTAAACAGCTTCTTTTTCTTTTCTTTTTTTTTTTTTTTTTTGAGACAGAGTCTCACTCTGTCACCCAGGCTGGAGTGCCGTGGCATGATCTCGGCTCCCTGCAACTTCTGACTACTGGGTTCAAGTGATTCTCATGCTTCAGCCTCCCCAGTAGCTGGGATTACAGGCGTGCACCACTACACCTGGCTAATTTTTATATTTTTAGTGGAGTTGGGTGTTTCACCATATTGGCCAGGCTGATCTTGAACTCCTGACCTCAGGTGATCTGCCCACCTTGGCCTCTCAAAGTGTTGGGATTCAGGCATAAGCCACCACACCCGGCCTTAAACCATGTTATCACTACAATTCACCACAACCTTGAAATAAGGTACTACTATTCTATTATTCCCCATTTAGAGGTGAGAAAACAGAGACTCAGAGAAGTTAAGTAAATTAAGCGCGTTAATTAAACAGCGAGTTTGTGGCAGAGCCAGGTTTCAAATTCAGATGTGTGAATCCAATCTTCTGCTTTTTTCACAAACTACACCACATCTTTCTTGACCCATGGCACACCGTGAGAAGTCAGTCTCTGTGAGTGGACCTGTCAAAATCAACCAGGCCTGAAATCCCAGTACTTCGGGAGGTGGAGGTGGGAGGATCGCTTGAGGCCAAGAGTTTGAGACCACCCTGGAAAACGTAGTGAGACTCAATCTCTAACAACAACAACAAAAATAATTAAAAGACTTGACCAGAAGGCCGGGCACGGTGGCTCATGTATGTAATCCCAGCACTTTGGGAGACCAAGGCAGGCGGATCATTTGAGGTCAGGAGTTCAATACCAACCTGGCCAACATGACAAAACCCCATCTCTACTAAAAATAAAAAATTTGCCAGACGTGGTGGCATGTACCTATAATTCCAGCTACTCAGGAGGCTGAGGCAGGAGAATCGCTTGAACCTGGGAGGCAGAGGTTGCAGTGAGCCAAGATTGTGCCACTGCACTCCAGCCTGGGCAACGGAGTGAGACTCCATCTCAAAGAAAAAAAAAATCAACCAGCAGCCTTGTGGGTATTGTGTGAGCAGTCTTCCCAAGTGTTTGCCTCAAGCAGCTCAGCACCTATTCCTGCCAAAAGGAGAAGCAAAACCAGATAACCAGTGGAATGGACATTATGTGTGTTCAGCACCCATTCCCCCAATTTGTACTCCCCAATATTTGGTCCAGAAGTCACCCCCATGTAGCCTCTGTGCTTCTGGAGAATCTCCAGGGGACAGGCTAAGAGTAATGTGTCTAACAGTGCTAAGCCAAGCCCATGGCCTGCGTCAGCAACATTCCAGAAGAAGAAGAGCACTGTAGCCAGTTGTTTAGCCGGATGGTAGTGATGGGGAACAGTTTCCCAGGTTGGGCATGTGGAAGGTTTTCCAGTACTTTGGATTAAGACAGGATGCAGTGGTCCTAAATTCTTATAACCTTTGTCTCCATGGGTTCAGAAACCCAGCCTTCATTCGTCAGCAAGTGCCATTCTCCTGACCAATAGAAATTGGTTCAGAAACAGGCTATGAGCCTCCTTGGTTTGCTGGGGAGTTCAAGAAAAGACGTTTTCTTTCTTTTCTTTTTTTTTTTGAGAAAGGGTCTCACTCGGTCACCCAGGCTGGAGTCCAGTGGTGTGATCATGGCTCACTGTAGCCTCAACCTACTGGGCCCAAGTGATCCTCCTGCCTCAGCCTCCCAAGTAGGTGGGACTGCAGGTGCACGCCACCCCACCCAGCTGATTTTTTATAGAGATAGGGTTTCGCCATGTTGCTCAGGCTGATCTCGAACTCCTGAGCTCAAGCGATTCACCCACCTTAGCTTCTCAAAGTGCTGGGATTACAGGCATGAGCCACCATGCCTGCCTGGAAAGGAGTTTCTTGAGAGCCACTGGAATACGCATTGTCTCTTCCTCCGGATTTTGCAGGGTGCAGATGTAAGCTTGAAACTGCAGCAGTCAACACCCTAAGGATCCACCCTAAGGATCAAATTAATGGAAAGGTTCAAATAGTTGAGAGGATAGCAGAGGAATAGAATGACGACCTTGACTGAACCATGCCTGATCTCCACCCCACCACAGTGGACTTTTGGTTATATGAACCAATAAATACCACCTTGTGGTATTCAGATTGGATTTTCTGTTCTTGCCAATGAAAGCATATGGACTGGCATAGCCTTCTTTGGTGACCAACTGCATCTCTGAGCCCCTTACTCTAAGCCACCCCACATGACAGCCTCAGGAGCAGCTAAGGGAATCCATTCTGCTCCTAGGGTATGTTCTGTCAAAGCTGAAGGGCAGGCATCACACCCACAATCTGTTAGAGTTGGAAGAAAACTCAGCCTTTATTGAAAGTCTTTTTCAGATGAGGAAATTGAGATCATGAGAAGTGATCAACCAGATACCTGTACCCCCTGTTCAGTGTTCTTCCCTCCACATTCATAGTAGCACCCCAACTTCCTCCTGGACCAGCAGATTATCTCAGGACACATTTACTTGGCACAGATGAGCTCTTGGATACCAACTCTGTGGCTCCCTGGGCAGCACACCCACTTCTGAACCAGCTCCCTACCTCACAGTTAGGATTTCAAGGAAGGGCTGGGAGCTGCCCATCTTCCGCAATCTCTCATCTTTCAATTTCAAAATGCCAAAGGGCCAGAATTACTACTATTACACATATTCTTAAAACATGTGACTTTGAATCCTTTCATGTCCTGAGCCTTTCAGAACTGTCCCTTGAAATAGCTGGAGTCCAGTGGCGTGATCATGGCTCACTGTAGCCTCAACCTACTGGGCCGAAGTGATCCTCCTCCTGCCTCAGCCTCCCAAGTAGGTGGGACTGCAGGTGCACGCCACCCCACCCTGCTGATTTTTATAGAGATGGGGTTTCGCCATGCTGCCCAGGCTGATCTCGAACTCCTGGGCTCAAGCGATTCACCCATCTTGGCCTATCAAAGTGCTGGCATGATCCCTAGGCCCATCCCTAATATTTCAGGGTCCAGGAAAGAGTATATATGGACACTCACATACCAAATGTCTAGGTATTTACATTATAATCAAATAACAGACTATTTTTGTTATTTTGCTTTTTTTTTTAGAGGTGGAGTTGGGGGAGGGTCTCACTGTGTTGCCCAGGCTGGCCTTGAATTCCTGGACTCAAGTGATCCTCTCTCCACAGCCTCCCAAGTAGCTGGGCCTACAGGCACATGCCACCTGATACGGTTTGGCTGTGTCCCCACCCAAAACCTCATCTTCAATTCCCACATGTTGTGGGAGGGACCCGGTGGGAGGTAACTGAATCATGGGGGCAAGTCTTTCCCGTGCTGTTCGCATGATAGTGAACAAGTCTCATGAGATCTGATGGTGTTAAAAGGAGGAGTTCCCCTGCACAAACTCTTTCTCATTCTCTCTCTTTGCTTGCTGCCATCCATGTAAGATGTGACTTCTGCCATGACTGTGAGGCTTCCCCAGCCACGTGGAACTGTAAATCCAATCAAACCTCTTTCTTTGGTAAATTGCCCAGTCTCAGGTATGTCAGCATCATGAAAACGGACGAATACAAATTCCTGGACTTAAGTGATGTCTCGCCACAGCTTCCCAAATAGCTGGGACTACAGGCACATACCACCACTCCCAACTAAATGATTCAATATGTTCTGCTTCCCTCAAAAAGGATACTTTCATAAAGAATGGAAGACCAGGTTTGAATTTGGAATTTTAGATTCCACAAAGTCCTGTGGTAGCAAGAGAAGAGGAGGGTCCAGCCCACAGCCAGATCCCCTTCTGTTTTTACCCCCGGCCCATCCCACGCTAAGAAGGGCCTCATGTGTGTCCATGAGGAAACCCCAGCCCACATTCCAAGCCCCATCTATAATTCCTACAAACAACTTTTTGCTGGTCACCCCCAGGCCTGCATGTGTACAGGTCACACTCAGGAGGAGAGACATGGGCAAGAGGGCTGCAGGTCCAGGAAGCAGGCTCAAGACCACTTGGGTGGGGAACTGTGGTTTCCCAGGTACCTGGAGCATGGTCTAGGAGTGGGGCGTGCAAGCTCCAAAGGGTGTGTCACTTTGGCCACATAGACACCTCGCCCTGTGGAGAGGGTAATGGACAGAGGAGGGCCAGGGTGGGGCCCTCCAGCCTTGGGACCCAGGACAGGGCCTCTCTTGGCCAGGTCCAGGAGTAGTACTAGCCCTCCATTCCATCCTAAACAAGGTCCTAAAACTAGGGCTGAGGACAGGGCTGGCCTAGCAAGACTAGGTTTTGTGACCTCGGGCAAGTCCATGACCTCTCTGGATCTGTTTCCTCCCTTTTGCCTGAGGCAGCTGGAATGCTTCCACATTCCAGAACCCTCCACAGAGTCTGGGAAGCAGATTTGATTTTAGACTCCTCACTCCATCTGGCAATGCTGAGACACTGCCCCCCATAACCCCCAACGGAAGAGAGAGCCACAGCGGGGAAATGAACTGCCTTTATTTTTTTATTTCCCCTCCGGAAACCCCAGTGTGATGGTGGAAGCAGCATGAAAACAACATCTCCCCAGGCCTTGCAGTAGAGGCGAAGGGAACAGGGCTGCCCATGTGCCTGCCTCTAAAGATGCCCCCCTCAGGTTGATATCACCTGTGGGAGACTGGGTCCACTTACAGACACCAGGTGATGGTCCACCAGGCCCCAAGCTCCAGCCTGCTGAGTCCCCAAGGCTCAGGCTCATCAAATAGTTTTGTACAAAAACCCAGGGGTGTCCCCCCAGCTGGTAACAAATGGGCAATTTCTACTTGAGATCTGCTGCTGTGGGGGTGGACCTCATCTTGGAGATATCTTTCCAAAATAAAATTAAGCCCCACTCAGGAAAAATGGTGATGAAAGGCAGCTCACAGACATGCAGGACTAATAATCTTATTGAAAAGGAAGGAGCTCAGGCACACAGGAGGACAAGGCTATGCAATATGCAGACAGGAAAGAAATGCCACGGGACGCTGTCGGGGTCAGCAGGAGGCAAGGAGGTAGAGCTCCAGCCAGGAACGCTCTGCCTAGAGAGAAGCCCTCTGCAACTGGCCCTAGATGGGGGACCCAGGGAAGTATCTCCGTAAGGACCAAGGAGATAGCAACAGCCTGCCCAGGTGTGGCCTTGTGCAGGTCACACAGTCCTCGTGAGTCTTCTGGACAGGAAATGGACCTGAGGGACATTTTCGAGACAGGGTCAAAGTGCAGAGAGAGCCAAGAGGTCAAGATGGTGCCGGAGATTCTGAACCACAAGAGCCATCCCTTTGGGAAACACTGAGAAGAGGAGCGTCTTCTCTCTCCTCTGCTTGGGGCAAGCCTGGGTCAGGTGGGTTCTCAGTACTTTTTCACAGTTAAGTCTCTTCCTGGGCAGCCACATCCACGTCAGGCTGGGCTGGGGTCCTGTGGCAGGTTCAAAGCTGTGAGCCACCCTGAGAGAATGTGCCCACTTCCCTGCTTTGTGGTTCATAGGCCTAGAGAGACCCGACAGCAAGCTGCCCAGGGTGAGTGAGAGTGCCTGCTCGTTTCGGAGGTCGGGGCGGAGAGGCCTGTACTCCAGATTCCCCAAAGAGATCAAAACGTACTGAAACAGCCTGCAGGTCTATGTGTGTCTAACAGTGCTCAGCCAAGTCCACGGCCTGGGTCAGCGACATTCCAGAGGAGGAAGAGCATGGTAGCCGGTTGTTCGGCCGGATGGTAGCGATGGGGAACAGGTCTCAGGCTGGGCATGTGGAAGGTTTTCCAGTACCTTGGATTAAGACAGGATGCAGTGGTCCTAAATTCTTCCAGTCAGACTGAGTTAACAGCATGTCTTAGTAGCAGGAATTTGTCCTTGTTTTTGTCACACAAAGGTGGGTGGAGACGGGGCCAGGACACGGCCAGTTTGATGACGGTGGAGAAGCTGCTGCCAGTTCTGTGGGGCGCAGGCCACCTCACGGCCCTCAGGTGAAGTAGCGGCAGGGCGTGGAGTCGATGTAGCAGTACTGGGTGCATCGCAGGTCTCCATATGACCTGAGGGAGGCAAAGACACGTTCTAAAAGGCCACCTCTTATATGCTGGTGATTCCCAGTCAAACCTCATCAAACAGTGGCCAAGGGTCAGTGGTTCTATAAAAACTTTTCCCATTCTCATTTGGAGTGAGAGGCCTGGGGGAGTTGAATCATGTCTCTGGGATTTTTGCCTTGAGCTCCAGCTAGGGGCCTGGGTGGAAGGAGGTGGTCGCCCTGCTCTTAGCACAGCATCTATGAGGGAATCACCCCCTTCTCAAGGCCTGAAAGGTTTCCAGTACTGTTGTTACAATACACCCTACCGACAAAAATGTCCTGTATCTGTGAAGCCACTGGCCAGATATGACTATTGAGCTCCTGAAATATAGCTACTGTGACTGAATAACTGCATTATTATTTTTTTTTTTTTTGGAGATGGAGTGTTGCTCTGTCCCCAGGCTGGAGTGCAGTGGTATGATTTCGGCTCACTGAAACCTCCGCCTCCCAGGCCTGCCTCAGCTTCCCGAGTACCTGGGATTACAGGCGCGTGCCACCAAGCCCAGCTAATTTTTATATTTTTGGTAGAGGCGGGATTTCACCATGTTCGCCAGGGTGGTGCCGAACTCCCAACCTCAGGTGACCTGCCCACCTCGGCCTCCCAAAGGTCTGGGATTACAGGCGTGAGTCACAGTACCTGGCCTGAGTAACTGCATTTTAAGTTTACTTATAATTACTTTACATTTGAACAGCAGCCTGTGAGTGGGGGCTACCATATTGGACAGTGCAGCTTATACCTCTGTAGGCCCGGATGATCATCCGAGACAGGGTGTTAAACCTCACAGGCACGGTCACAAGCATCCCTGGGAGGCTTCTGGGGTGTAGCTGTGTAACCACAGTGAGCGTGGGGGAGCCCTGGGCTCTACTCGATCCTGCACTCCATATCTGATTGTCTATACTCATTTGTCTCTGTGGAGCCATGAAGAGCCAACTCTCTGGCAGAGGCCTGTCAGGGGCCTTCCTTCGTTCAGGGAGAGGAGCACTGCACACAGACACATGTATGGAGTGGGGGGCCAAGCCTAAACAGGCTTGGAGTCAGGGGAGACTACAGGTCTGTAGTTTTTGCAGCCTGGTTGAACATGCTAATATGCGAGTGTTAGGAGACCCCCTTGGAAGAGAAAGCAGAGAGCGGGCAATGGAAAGACAGGCATGGCTCCCCAGCCCTGCCAAGGGCCCGGGTCCGAGTCTACAAGAGGAAATGTGATGGGAGTAAACGCTGAAGAGACTGGACCCAAGGACAGAAGAGATCAGAGGCACCAGTAGATCCACTCTGGAACCCAGCGGAGAGCAGGGCATGGCCTGGGTGGGAAGGAACGGCCTCCCCATTTTCCTGAGAACTTTGTACAACTCTGGTTCTGTAAGGACTGGGGAGACATGTACCTTCTGCACCTTGGAAGGAGCCCAGCGGTTACAATCTGGGCATGGAATCAGCACCTCATGGGGCGGTGGCCCTCAGTTGGTTTGGCAGGTGCCAGCGTGGAGCCAGGACACTAGAATACTTGTCCAGAGCAACATAAATAGCCGCTGAGGGTTCTCAGAAATAACTAGAGGGGTCCTCGGAGGGAGTACTTTCCTGGAGGGGCCACGAGCTTGCAAAATTAGATATAAAGACTGATTTGATCTCACTTGCAGTCACAGGCATTGCCTGAGGGTGTTCCAGGGAAGTCAGGTTAGGTAGACACGTCGATTCTTGGAAATGCCCTGAGACCTTTACTCTCCACTGGGCTTCCCACCTCAGCTCACAGCCCAGGAGACTAAGCAGTCATGGTGACCACTGGGTTTGGGGGCTGCTCATACATGGCAGCAGCTGAGCACAGAGACCGCAGCTCCCCTCTGGGCCTCGGACAGAGCAGGTGGCTGTGGGTGCTGTGGCTCAGCCTCAGTGGCATGCAGGCAGTGCTGACCAAGAGGGCACGTGGTGGGCAGGGAGCACGTGCTGTGTCATTCGTCACCATACCTCAGTGTCTAGAAGGCACCACAAAGTGGAGAGGCACTCAAAATATTTGTGAAGGAAAGAAGGAAAGCAAAGAGGAGGGAGGGAGAGAGAGGGAGGAGAGAGAGGGAGAGGAGTCATCCCTACCCAGGGAGATAGGTCTCGCACGTCAGGTAGCCAAAGTCAGAGCCGTCACAGTCCTCCACACCCTCATGCCGGTGACCATCTCCACAGTAGGCACGGTGACAGCCTGAGGGGACATAAGGAGGTGCAGTCCTGAGAAGGAGCAGAGGCGACAGGCTTGCCTCAGCTTGTAAGGACCATGCAGCCCAAGGGATCCACCCTAAGTGCTGCACCCCTTAAGGAACTGACCTCCATTAAGCTTCACACTGCTCCAGGGACTGCCCTCAGGCTCTGGTCCCACACTGATGTGCCATGGGACAAGAAGAAGGAGACCCTGGCTCTGGCCCCACCTGACCACTTACTAGCTGAGGGGTGGGGAGACTCCAGGTCGTTATCTGCAAAACTGGGACACTGACATGACCTCCACCTCATAAAGCCACTGTGGGGTCCCAGGAGTGAGGGCTGGGAGACTGCTGAGCCCCAGTGAGGGTGCGTGGTGACTCTCATCTGTCAACAGAGAGCTTCTGCGTGACACTGGTGAGCCCAGCCTTGTGTCCCTGGGGAGCCACATGATCTTCAGCAAAGACCTCTGCTCTCACACGATGGGAGGGTGTTGGAGTATGGACCCCAGCTTCGTTTTCACATGCCAGGCAGAGTCCATTAGTTCCTTCCCACTGTGAGAGCTCCTATTTGACACTGTACACCAGAGGCAGAAGGGACTCTGGGCAGGGCCAGCCTTCTCGGGGATGCCATCCCTGGAGCTGTCAGGAGACAGTTCGGCCACAATGAGACAGTCAGCAGCATCTCCCACCACCCACTCTGCCCTGTCATCCCTCCCCTGAACTTTTTTTTTGAGACAGGGTCTCGCTCTGTCTCCCAGCCTGGAGTGCAGTGGTGCAATCGCAGCTCACTGCAGCCTTGAACCCCGGGGCTCAAATCATCCTCTCACCTCAACATCCAACTGCGCACCACCAGGCATGGCTAATTTTTTTAATTTTTAATTTTTTTGTAGAGATTAAGTCTTGCTCTGTTGCCCAGGCTGGTCTCGAACTCCTGGGCTCAAGTGATCCTCCAACCTCAGCTTCCCAAAGTGTTGAGATTACAGGCATAAGCCACTGTGCCCAGCCTCCCCTGAGCTTCTTAAGAACAAGGACCATGACTTTGCATCCACACACATACAGCCCTGAGCTCCAGCCTGGCTCTTCAGAGGAGGGGCTTAAACCACAATCCCTACATGAATTCAGGGAGTGGTGGTTGAACCCTTACTATATCCAGATAATTGCTGCACATATTAGCTCACAGGATCTCTAGGGACTTGAGCAGCCAGCACATCATACCCATTTTACAGGCAAGGAAAGTGAGGCTCAGAGCTGTAAATTGCCCCCCATTACCCCACCCATCATGTGGCCTCTGCCTGGAGCCTGAGGGTGGTTGGTGTTTCTCAGGGCCTGCATTCAACGTCTGTTGACTCTAAAGCTCATACTTTCCACCACACCTCGTGGTTTTGTTACTTGATTAAAAAACAACAATAACAACAAAAGTGAGCCCTCCAGAGCCTGCTGCCCACCAGTTAAGGCAGCAGCCCACAAGGCTGATGGCAGCTCTGGCTGGCCCAGCTCCCCCTGTGGAGGGCTTTGCTACTAGAGCTCTACCGGGTAAATGAGCCCTCATTCAGATTCTTGGCCTCTCCCTTTTGCCTTTCACTCCTCCATGCAAAGTGAGAGCCCATCACTTTTATCTTCTGCACCTGTAACATGGGTTTTGCTAAGACGGAGGACTGGGAGGACCTGGTGGCTACATTTTGAGATGAAGAAGCCCTAACTGGGGGCAGGATCCTTGACATCCACCCCTGGTGAGGTGCTTGGGTGGTGGAAGAGTTAACATATGGGCTGAAATTGGGGCAGCAGGGGCTGGGGTGGGTGGCACAAGGCAGCCTGGGTACACCCTTCTCTGGCTCTAGAAAGGTCCCAAAGCACCACAGCTGGTATCCAGGGCTGGCCCCAAGTCCCACCCCCCTGCTGTTCAGGCCTCAGGTCCTCCTGGGCTGGGCCTCACTCACGGATGCAGTCGTCACCCACATCGCTGTTACCATCGTCACACTCCTCCCCGGGCTGCAGGAGCCCATCCCCGCAGGTGCCGCGCTGGTCTGCAGTGTAATCCACAGGATAGAAAGGGGTCAGCTGGCCAAAGAAGCACACAGCATTAACTGGAGCATGGCATACCAAGGCAGCCGCAGGCAGGGAGGTCATTTGTTCTGGGTCCGATGGCACTGCTGGGGCATGCCTTGACTTCCTCCCAGGGGTGGGAAAGGTACTCCTTTCCTGTCGCCCAGAGCTCTGTAGCTGGTTAAATGCTGGGTCAGATCAAGACAGCAACCTGGCACGCAGGGATGTGGAGACCCCCTGGAACCCTGACTCAGAGAGGGGCTTCTATTTGGGGGTCAGGGTGGGGGAATGGAGGGCTGCTCAGAAACAGTTTGAGGGAGGATGCTCAGCCCTCCCATGCAGACAGACTACAGAAAGCCCTCCCCAGGCCCAGTGGGGTGGCCTTCTCTTCCTTTAATGGATGCATCTCTCTCCTGGGCAGGGAGTATGTCCTGAGGTGATGGCCTGGGGGTACCTGGATGGGGAGCCAGCCAAGGCTGTCCTTGAAGTACAGAGATCTCTGGTCTCTGCGAAAGGCAATGGCATTTTGGGTGTTCAGTCTCTCAAGCTCCTCCTGGTTGTTGACCACAAAAATCTGCCAGAGAACACACTGGTGAGGATTCTAGAAAACACTTCTGCAGGGGGCAGGGAAAAAGCTGGAGGAGGAAACAGACTATCCTCGGGCTGCTCAACAGTGGAAAGAGGAGTTGGCACACTACACTCTAGCATTCCTTCTGAAGTGAGAGCAGTGTCTTGATTCCCTCACCTTCTCAATTCAGTTTCTAATGTCTAAGTTTGAAACTAAAATATTCACTCAGATGTAACTTTTTTTTTCTTTTTTCTTTTCTTTTGAGACGGAGTCTCACACTGTTGCCCAGGCTGGAGTGAAGTGGCACGATCTTGGCTCACTGCAACCTCTGCCTCC